CAGCGTGAAGAGCAGTGATAAAAGATCACCCCTCTATGTAACCCCGCAGCAAGACCTGTAAAGCATTCAGGTATCTTTTAGGTTTCTCCAGGACATGTTACACCTGGGGAAGGCACGTGGCCATCACATAGAGCGCTCAAACCCCACGGGGTTGCCCCGCTGGGCCCTGGCACATTAATTATTAATTAACCTAATTAGCGGCAGGGGCGGCAGGGCTGCCCCAGGTAACCGGAGCTCGGGTCCCGCTTCCCTGGGCGGCACGGTCTGCTGCGGCCCCGTCCCGCCGGGGGGCGCCATAGAGCTGGAGGGGGGGGGGCAGCGGTGCGTCTTCACCAATGGGAGCGGAGCGCGGCGGCGTCTCCGCCAATGGGCGCGGGGGGCGGGCAGCGCGGAGCCGTCGCCGCAGCCGCCGCAGCCGCCGCAGTCACAACACAGCCATGCCGGTGGACCTGGGACAGTGGGACGGGCCGCTGAGCCTCGCCGAGGTGGAGCAGAAGCCGGCGCAGCCGCTGCGGGTCAAGTATGGCTCCGTTGAGATCGACGAGCTGGGCAAGGTGCTCACGCCCACTCAGGTGAGCAGCGCCCGGCCCCCCGCTCGGGGGGGGTTGCTGCAGCAAAATGGCGGGAGGCGGCCGGGCCTCTTGCGCCGTCTCTGCGGCAGCTCCGGCCGGAGCTTCGCCTGGTGCGGGGGGACAGAGAGGGGCTGAACTTTGCTGTCGACCCTGGTACGGGGACGGCCGTGCCGCGGGCAGAGGCCCTTGGCTCTCATAGCCTGGGCGAGCTGGCACAAACTTTGAACTCCTCGGATGTCGCAACCAGCGCTGGTCGCAGGTCGCCCTGTGTGCAGGGCAGGTGGCTGGCCCGGGCAGCGGGGCTGGTGCTAACGCGGTCACTCCTGCAGGTCCAGCATCGCCCCACCAGCATCGAGTGGGATGGCTGCGATCCCCAGAAGCTTTACACCCTGGTTCTCACAGATCCTGATGCGCCCAGCAGGAAGGACCCAAAGTTCAGGTATGAGAGTGAGCCTGGGTTGCCTGGGGGAAATGGAACATCCCTCTTGGGCTGAGGAGAGGATTAGGAGGAGTTTGGGACTGTGCTCCGCCTAAGGTGCAGCTTTGGGGCTGTGGCTTGGCATAGAAACGGTGTCCTTGCATCTCTCCTTCAGCCAGGGACAGCATGGGGAGTAGCAGCTGCTCTTTCCAGGGGTGTTGGAAGATCTGTTGCAGCTGGAGCAGCACAGCATCTGCTGCTTGCTCTAATTTGGCCCATGTGTGAGTTGGAGTTAGGCTTGTCTGTGTTGGTTGTGGAGTCAAACCTGGGGCCAGTTCACTTTTCTCAAGTCAGCTCAGAAGCTTGTGGAACGTCCACTCTTGGGGGTCAGGCTCTGGTTTTCCCACAGCCACAAGGCAGGCTGATGGAGCTGGTTTTGGCAGGTTGTGCATCCCAAAGGAGCACTACCTGCTCTGGGACCGCTGCTCTTTGGGTTTGGCAATCCAGGAATCAGCTGTTTGCTTATTCTTCACTGACAGCCTTATGGAAAAGCAGCAGCTTGGAGTGATAAAGGGATTGTGCCACAATCTGATTGTTCTTTGCCCTCTCCTTTCAGGGAGTGGCATCACTTTTTGGTGACCAACATGAAAGGCAACAATGTGGGCAGCGGGACCGTGATGTCGGATTATGTTGGCTCCGGGCCTCCCAAGGGAACAGGTTGGTACCTGCCTGCAGCAGTTCCCAAGCGGCGCTACATGGATCAAACACAGTGCACAAGGGTGGGGGGAAGCCAGCAGGAAACGATCCGTGCAGGATTGCCCGTGGCTGCATGAAGCCACACCCAGCAGGAGCACGTATGGAGCATATCTAGTGCATCTTCTCTAAGCTGCCTTAAGCTCCATCATCCTCAGCCTCCCGATCCTGGAGCACGCAGGCACCTGCAGGGGTCACTTCAGAGCACACCTCGGACCTGGAATTCCGGGTGCCCGGTGTGGTAACGCTGTCCCTCCCCGCAGGGCTGCACCGCTACGTGTGGCTGGTGTACGAGCAGCCCAAGCAGCTCTCCTGCAACGAGCCCGTCCTGTCCAACCGCTCCGGGGACAAGCGAGGCAAGTTCAAGGTGGCCGCTTTCCGCAGCAAGTACGGGCTGGGGGTGCCGGTGGCGGGCACCTGCTACCAGGCAGAGTGGGATGACTACGTGCCCAAGCTCTACGAGCAGCTGTCGGGGAAGTAGGGTGTGCAGCACCCACGGCTCGGGCACGGCGCTGTAGTTTTGTTTGATTAGTGAGTTGAACCCAAGTGTCCCGCTCTGACCGCTGGAGCTGTAACCCCGTCACTGTCCCTGCTCCGTGTCCGTGCGTCCAGGCCTGTGCTGACTGCCGTGGTACAGATGATCCTAGCTAGAGCTGCTGACAGGTGTCCCTGGAAGGGCCACTCCCTCCAAACTGATCTGCTTAAGGGAAACAAAAGCCTTTGTTAATTAGTGTCAATTCAGGGTGTCTCTGCTGTCCTGGGATGGCTTTAGATGTCAGGGGTGTGGGTACAGCACCACTTCTGGGCTAGTGCTGGCTGTGGAGACTCCCTTTTCAGGAGAGGAGAGGGCATAAGGGAAACTTTCCCTCCTCCCTATTTTTTTTTTCCCCCCTCAACCTTTGGCCAGTGCCTCCCTGTCACCGCTCCAGTAGTGAAGGTGCAGCTCGAGGGGGAGGCAGGAGCTGGTCTACACCACTTCTTCTGTTCTCTGCTGCCACTCAAAGCTGAGACCACTTTGTTTTGTTCAGTCCTGTGGTGACCTGATCTTACCGTGCTCTTTGCTCACAGTGCAATTAAAAACTTACCAAGGTGTGTGGCGTGCTTGGTTGTCTTCTTGGGGGATGAAGGGAGTGCTCAGGGGAGCAGCTGGATGTTGTAGGGCTCCTGTCCTGCTGGGAAGAGGCTGGACCCTGTACCAGGGACTCCCCACTCCTGGAATACGCTGGTGGCTGGAGTGACACAGCTCAAAGCAGTCATGTCTTTCCATCTTTACCTACCTTTAGTCCCTGTCCCAAGGATCCCCCTGGCTCTGTGGAGGCTCCTTCCCTCTGCAGGAACCCCATCAACCCCCCAGTCTGAACCCCAACAGCAGTTTGGCCTCCACCAGCTTTACTGACCTGAAGCCAAGTCCCAGCCAAGCTGCAGATCCCAGGTGTTTCCTGCTCCTCCAGCAGCTTTGCACTGAGGCCTGGGGGTGTGTCCTGAGTACTTAGAGCAGAAATGAGCCTTTGGTCCAGCCTGATGGCTATAAAGAGGTAAAAAAGGTGAAGACAGTGCAATTCAACTTCGTGGATCCAGGAGCCTCCCCCCCCTTTTTCAAGCTGCTGTCTCAAGGGTCTGCACTGACACGGTCTGACAGAATCAGGGGCCCTGTGACAACTGGGGACTCCCTAACTCCAGAAGGTGGGTGGTGTCTGCCCCAGGGCAGTTTTTCAGCTCAGCCATTAAAACATTTCAACAGGATTGATGGTTTTTCAGGAAAACATCCCCAACTACTCCAGACCAAGGCCCACAAGACTAAGGCTGGAGCAGTGCTCACATGGGCTGATCCATCCTGGGACTGCTCAGGCTGGAAGCAGGATATAAACAAGCTACAATCCATCACCCTGAAAACCTCCACTGTCAGGAAAACGGGCCTGGAATGGAGCCCTGAGGTTCCTGCAGCACCAGGCTGAGAGACACCTGTGGAATGGGACACCTGTGGAATGTGTCACCTCCCTCTCCCCACACCTGTGCTGGGCCACGAGCCGCCCCTCCCACAATGACACAGCCAGGCATTGTGATGAACACTTTTATTTACAAATATAATTAAAAGCTCTGACAGTTATTCATGCTCTTCCCTGGAACCTGAAAAATGTTTTTTGTTGTTTTGTTGGTTTTTTTGTCCTTTTTTTTTTTGTCGTCGTTTTTTTTTTTTTTAAAGTGCATGCAAAAGAAGTAAAGCCTTTTTTTTTTTCTCTTTTTATTGTAAGAAAATACACAGTTTGAAAGTGTGAATAATGCAATATTTATGACCAAGATCATGGGGTTGGGGGTGGACTTGGGGGAGGAACAA